CATGGCAGGGGGGTTGGAACCCAAAGCATTCTTTGATACGTCCTTTAAGATCAAATAGCTTCCATAATTCTTTCAAAGTCCTTTCTGTGTATCATACCCAAGATACAAACATACAGCAAACTATGCTGTACAGTAACACTTCTTTTTGACCTCTATTTTGTTGCTAATTTTCAACATCTCCTTTGTGGTTTTTGACCTTTATTAAGAGTTGTGTTGGCAATTTCATATATAATCTCCATTACTCTAAATCGCTTAACTTGATTAGAAACAGTTAATTCAGATTTGATCCTATGTATAATACAGTTCAGGTAATATTTTCCTAGGTATCTCCCTTTTTTCTAACAAAAATAAATTTTGAGCGCCAAGTTATTATTCAACATTTTGAAACTCTTCCACAACTTTGCTTCCTTTTATTCAGCATTCCCTTTACTACTGTAGATAGCTTTGTATCACAAACTTTAGTCTGACCCTTTTTTCCCCAGATTATTTCATTGGAACAGTGCAAAACCTAACTGAGATGCTTACATACACAGCCTCTGACACACTTCACCAAGGAAAACTGGACATTTATTCCAGAGCAGTTCAGATGTGCCCTAAGAGCTACAAATCCACACATTACTCACAGTATTCCATTTTATCGTTGTGTTTTGGATTTGTTTGGCCTGTCATTTATTATACCATGCAAGGCCTGAGAAGCACGATTCAGCTGATGTAAAAGGATGAACATCCATCATGGACATATGCAAAAAGCTTTTCCCAGGTCATACACTACAGCTACAGGCTCTATATCTAAAACCCTTTCCCCCTCATTTAAGAAAGGTACCAGCACTGCAATGCTTAATACATGATGGGTATCATCTCGTGATTAAGATACGTTATGTAAAATTTGGCTGCACTCCAGTCAAAGGAAGTGAAACACCCTTGCGTTTCATTAGACTGGATTTTCTTCTTTGGTACATAAAAGATATGAAATGAAGTATTTGACCTTAAAATACCAAAAGCTATATATGAGCTATATATGAGAGTTCTTTCCTCTGTGGAAGTAAAAACATAGTACTTAGTATTCAGTGTTCTATGAAAAAGAAATTTTTTACCAGAGTCTGATAAATTGTTGTTCTTTTCAAGCATATCCTTCTCCTGGTTATTTAAAATGAAGTCTTCTTGAAAAACATGGAATAACTGTGTTTTCCTGCCATGCTAAGAAAGTGAAAACACACAAGACATGAACATCATGGAGTGTACTGTTTATGACTGCTCTCTAACATTGGAGCTTTTAACTTGATAATTTATGCAATTCAATGAAAAAGATTTTTCAAGAATGTGCACCTTGATTACTCTCATTCTTTTCATTTACAGGTACTATGAAGCCAAAAGCAATTACACGTCAGAAACAATCTTTAAATATCTGGTCTTTACCTGATTGAGAGCTACAGATATAGCTTCCATTATTAACACTTCTAATCAAGCTAATTGTGGTATAAAATTAGTACGGAAGAACTTACAAGCTCTGTGATGGCATCCAGCTCAATGATACACCCTGGGCGAGCTGTAGATTGCTGACTTATGATGTTAAAAACTTCACCAACGTATTTCTGTTTAAACAGAGTCAGGAGAATGGTCTTGTTAACTTTATTTTGTGCATTTCTGAGGCACAGTCTGCTAGGGTAGGTGAAACATCACTAAGCAAATGTTAACTAAAGCATTAAATATACACTGGTTGAAATCCAACAAGAACACAAGTAACATTCCCCGTTTTACCAAGAGTCACATTATTTTCAGTGGCCAAAAGGTGAAGAGAACATCTGTAAAGCCTCTCATTCAGCAGTTCATTGTCCCTTCCCCACGTTGCATTGTTGTCTCAACTTTTCCTTAGGACGGACAATGTACGCACACAGTTTGTTGCTCTGTTATCGCTCCCTGTAGTGCAACTGTTTCCGAGGTATTTCCCAACCAAACATTAACCTGCCTGCATATGCAGAACTGCAATTAAATGGAAAGCAGTATGGCTACAATGCTAAAAAGCTTTACCATATCTGTTTTTTCAAGCAGAGCTAAGACACCATAATCTGTGAAATCCTCAGCAACCAGCTCTGTCAGTTACCAACAAGTCTGAAACCAGTGCCACTAAAGTTCCAACCTCCAAAAACTTGAGACAGCTTTTCACTTACAGAAATTTCTGGATTGGAGAGCTCACACAAAAGTTTCTTAGCATCTATTACAGCTTGATATAATCTCAAATGCTGTCCATCACTAGCCACAAAGCAGGCACTTGGAGAATTACAGTATGCACCTGAAAAATAAGAATGAAAAAAGTGCTCAAATATACAAACACCAATTTGCTCCCTTTGTTTGGGCAAGAGGCATTTTGAAGTTATGAAAGAAAACAATATAGTATAAGAATAATTCATTAACTTCTATTGAGAAGCAAGAACTACAAAGTTTAATGCTGGGCTCAGCAACAAAATCAAAATATATGAAAGGAAATGAGAACCCCATTTGCAAACCAGAGCAAAATCCACCTCTACTTTTACGTGTTCAACTCAATCTGAAGTATGCACCAGTATCTATGATCTTTACTGCACCAGGTCCCAAAGCATGAAATACACAAAAGGAGGCAGAAGAACACGGCAATTCTTTACACAGGAATAAACAATTTCCAAGTGTCAGCAGCTTGGAAATTTGTGAGATAGAGGACCCATGCTTAATAACATTTTTTTCTAATGCATTCAAGTATATCTACTTTATCTATTTAATAGTAATATCAGGTTATATTACTTTTATTCTAGAACACTCCAGAAATCAGGAAACAACACTCACCAAGGCAATAGCTGGGTATGAGTGTGGGCAGCCATGCAACATTAGAAAAAGCTGAAACATGGAGAGAATTGATCCGAGCAAGTTCAGAAACTCCACCAGAAAAGGACAAAGGCCCGACAGGGTCAACTCTCCAAAGAATAAGTTCACTGTAAACCGCACTGGGATCCTGGGATGTGACATTTGCATTGCCTCTACTCTGAAGTCTTAGTGGTGATTCCTGAGACTTTAAAGAATCATTTGCAAGTTTTGCATTCTCAACATCTGGTGAAATTAGAGCATTGTGATGTGAGGTTGTAAGCAGCAGTGGTAATACTGAGTGGCAAGCCAAGTCATTAAGATGAAAACGGTGACCACAATATCGGGATTTATGTGAAATACTGAGTACAGTTGAAAAAGCAGATTCCTCAGCAAAACTCACAAGCCACTGGTTCAATGACCCATCTGCATGTTTGGAAATCATCATGACATTGGGCGTGAAGATACTTAGTTTTAAACTGTTGCTTGATTTACTGTGTCCAGAAGAGATAAGCATAGATGAAGAACGTGTAAGGCCAGGAGGCTTTTGTTTGCCTTGTTGAATAGCTAAATCCACATTTTTGGTACAAGCATACATAACTATACTTCTGCAAAGAGAGTTTGCATCACCCGTTGGAAATGCAACAGGAATTCTTGAGACAAATGACACCTGAAATTTTAAGAAAGAGAGAAAGAATAAGCAGTAGAAGTTATTTCGTCATCATATTTCTCACTGAACAACAATGCATAAACCAGAAAAAATAAAGTACCTGCACCTGACGAAACATGCCAGGCTGGTATTCATCTAGCCAGTCCACATGCCATACCAGCAGTGAACCATCCATAGGATGTATACTGAATAGCATGTCAGCATTTTTATTCCACTCAGACAGTAGTACTTCAATTTCATGATCAATAATAGCAGAAGATAGAGGAACAAGGCTTGAATTTGGAGTAGTTTTCTCATCACCCAGTTCCTTCTTTTCTTGGTTTCCTTTTTGCTCATCTCCATTTTCATCAGCTTCTAGAACACACACATACATGTATTATATTCAGAAGCAAAAGTATAGCAAGCAGTGTTATTCAGGCACTGGAGCAACTTTCAGGCCTTTTATAAGCCACTCATATAAGCACAAATTTAAATTTTGACCAGAAATCCTCTAGTGGGCCTCAGCCAATGGCTAACCCGAATAGTTTATATTGCACTTCAATTCTAAGTACTCCCTCCACCTTCAAAAATTATATACATTTTTGCATGCATAGGCAGAACAACAGCAGTCACCTCCAAGCTGTATATATTTAAATTGACTATATTGTCATAAAATATGTCTATTTATACACTAGGTATACATTAATATTAAGTAAAAAACAAACAAACAAACAAACACAAACCAACATTTAATTCTAAAGTTACATCCGCTTCCTTAAAAAAGCTGAAATAACACACTTTCATGCAAAGGCCTCCAGGTCAGCCCTACTTAGGCACACATTACTATTATGTAGTTTTAACTCAGGATATCTGGAACAACCATAAACGGATTCAGAATTTCTAGATACAGATTTTTAAGTCACTTAGGTACCTGCCATGTAAGGAAAGGAAATGGATAGAAATGCCACTGTAATTTTTCTGTACCCTTACATGTCAAGTTCCCTGACTCTTATGTGACTTGAAAAAAACATTACAAATTACTTTGTAAAACGGAACTCATTTGTCTACGATAAGACTTTTACCTTCTTCTGATCTGCCATCCATTTGATTAGACTCCTCCGTGTTAATCTCAGGAGAATGATGTTCAAAACTGTTTTTAAGCTGTTGCAAAAATACTTCCATGGATAAGGTAAAATGAAGTTCTTTGTTATTTAGCCAGTGCACAACAAAAGGTCCACTTTTGTCTTCATTTTCACCAAGACTCAGAGATGTGATAGAAGGGAGTAGAGGAATATCTACCAGAAAAACATGGGATATTTTTGAAAATTAAAGTAGTTTGGTCAAAAAATTATTTCAGAAAAACTGTTTTTAAGCAGAAACTTTACTGTGGAAAAAAAAAAGACAGTGCATTACCACTTGTCATTCCTTTCACCACCATCATCTACGTTCAGTATTAAGTTGTTTGACTGCTACCAGAAGAGATGCTACACAGGAGGGCTCTTTGGTATGCACAAAACATTTAGTGCACAATGGAGGCTGCAGGAAGTATACACAGGCATCTAGAACCACGCATGACAGAGCTTACACTAGCTAAAACCAGCAGTGACCAAATGATGTCCTCTGTAACACCACCACATAAAGCCAGGATCTCCAATTCCTATAGATCCCGTTATTATTTCACATTGCCTATGATGGTATCTGATGTGCCAGGTGGCCGTGAGAAACAAAGCAGTAAACACAAAGTGAGTGACTTACAAAGTAAGTATCAGACTGCTGCAGAGCAACATCATCTAAATTAATTGTGGATAAAAAGCAGCTAGGTGGTTTACGGCAGTTTCCTTAAATGAGCCATACAGCAACATGCTAAAAGCTCAATCTGCACTTAATTCTCCATATACATTCTCATACCCTCCTCCCTATTTATGCAGCATTAATGAAATTCCATGCCCTGGGAGATAAAATACTTTATAAACCAATTTTGGCGTTTGGGTTGGTTTGGTTTTTTTAAAGCCAGTGATGGCTTTGAATTACCCTCCACTCCAGTCCAAGAAAATAACAAGTGAGAGTACACAGATGGAATAAAGGACCACCAGAACTACCAGAAATTTTGCCGTGGGGAGAGGATACAACAAGGAAGGGGGAAAGAGGAGCACAGTATTTAAGAAACACAGTCTGTCTTCCTAAAAAGGCCAATTAATGCCAGTCTCAAAAATACTGTAATACATTTGGCAAAAACAGAACTTGGAGGAAAGCATTCTGTTGTCCTCTCTTTGGAAGATGAAGCTACAGTAAACATGAAGGTGTGGTGAACTAGAAAGATGACTTTTCACATTAGACTATAAATCTACGTACTTTGAGTATATATAAAAAGATAATTAAACCAAACTTGTTTTTCCCCCATTCTTCTGTCTCGAAAGTACCGACTTCTACCCAATGCTCAGCTCTGGACAAAAAAATTAGTGAATTTCTATTTGCTTCATAGATCACATTCACACTTTCCAGAAAAGTTCTAAAGTCTTTGGATTCAGTAACTTTTTCTGGATTTGCCTAGAGATAGTTCTAACAGCCACTGCTTATTCCTTTCACCAAATTCCATCCAGGCTGAATACCAGTTTAAGTGACACTCTAGTATAAAAGGTCTCAAGGATTTTGTTGCTATAAGGAAATAAGTTTCAAAATTAACACCACAAATACAATAAAAATTAAAAATACATTTATTCTTATATATGTCAACATTATGGTTCTTCAAGAAGTGAAGTGAAAGACAGAGAAAGCTGCTTTGGCTTTAGTTGATTTTATCAAGTACTCTGAATGTTGTAATAAGGGCAAATTTTCAAGTAAGAGATTATAAATTGATTTGGTTTAAATTAAATGAAAGGAAATACAATTAGGTTTTTAGATAAAATTTAATTTTAAAAGGGAAAACTAAAAGGACTACTTAGAGAATCTGGTTAGACTGAGGTACTTAAGTACTTGACTGTGAGGGAGAACAGATATTCCTTCAAATTAAGATTTAAGATGTGAAAGTTACTTCCAACAGAGGTTCTGCATTAAAAAACACCATATTATCCTCCAATCCACTGAATTAAAGATCAAGTGACTCAAAAGACAGCATCAAGATAAGCAGTATTAATACAGATAACACAGAAGGAACACAAGATTGAAAAGGCCCAAGACAAGTAGAGTGGTAGGTACCTAGGAAAATCTTTTATCATTCTTTTCCAAAATTATTTTTAGCCCATTCTGTGAGTTTGGCACATTTATATTGCAAAGACTATCAAAAACAAAATGAAAGTTTACTTAGTTATGCATAAACAAACAAGGAGAGAAGTGCATTAAGAGTAGATGTAAAAAAAAAAAAAAACCCAAAACCACCAGATAGTGAAAGATTATGTGCCAGCCACACAAAAAGGTTAGCTAGTTCCTTGTGCAATTTGAAGATGCAGAAATGCAGAGAGGAGAACTACAAATCTCCAGGAGGCTTTGGAGAAGTTTTCCTTTACGACATGGGATAGTAACACATGTAATGACTGGAGACATTTCCCATAGAAACAGGATAGCATTGATGGTACAGCACAATACTGCCAGAAGTTTCCTTCTGGTAGGCTGGATGTGATTCCAGTCACATCTGTTAAAAGAAATACGAACCAATACTACAAAAGGTGAAGACTAACTGTTATCTTACAGGAGAAAGTATTTACAGCATGCTTAGCCCAACAGTGGTAATGGAAACCAACAGTTCTTCATACCAGAGACTGTACACTTACAAATAAGAACTAAGCATGAACGCCTTTAGGCCAAAATGGGTCTTTCAAACAAGGGTCAGTAGGAACAACAACCAAAGAAACCTAAAAATACTATTTATAAGTCAGAGCTTAACTAATTTAAGAAAAGGAGTACATAATACGTTTGTTCATCAAGTCTAGACACAGGAAATCACATCCCAGCAGCAAAACCTTAAAAGGCCATTCAATATTGCATTTCTATTCAGTTTTTCAGTGAGCAGACACATGCTTCATTTTCAGCATACACGAACAACTGTGGAGACAGAAATATTAGCAACTATAGGGGATTTTCCTTAATGCTAACAACATATTGTTAGAGTGCAAGAGAACAATAAAGTCTGTGGAACACAGATGAAGGCATGCTTTGCTTGGTTTGGAAACAGAACCTCAGGGAAGTGTGGTTACTTCAGACACAGTGTCAGGTGCTCACTTTAAGAAGCTTGAAAATTTTTGATTTATCAGTGTGCTCTCAGTATGATACACAATATCCAGTAAATTTGTAACTCCAGTGACAAATAGTTGGCCTTTTTCATCTCAGACCACTGTGAATCTCTGTTAAAAGATGACCGAAAATGAGAGACAGGATTACTGTAGGGGAAATTTGATCAAGCCATTTCAGCAGTGTAGAAGGTTCTTTCATGCACTAAATGAAACCAACATGCTAGTAAATTTGCATGATCATATAAATACTGTATAAATACATTTGAGCCAGTTAAGCTTGACAGACAATACAGACCTAAAAGAAACTGCAGCTCACCCTGTAAGCAAGGGTTTACCACACTTCTCACCTGTGGCTGGATTGATACTGGCAGCAATATGGAAGTGACAGAGTGCATTTGCATGAGGAGGGATGTTTCTGTGAACTTCATGGGGATCTTGCTGATGTGGAGCATACCCAGTATGTGCTACAACTGCACCTGACCGCCTCCTTCCACGTCTGAAGTGCCTCAGGTTTAACTGCATGAAGAATAAGGTGTCATTTTAATTCCTTTCAAAAAGAAAAAGCAGATTTCATCTGTAAGTGGTTTTCTAGATACTAGGGAATTATTTTTTTCAATTTAAAAGCTACTTAAAAGCACCAGTGGAGTTTCTTGCAAGAATTACACTGTTCAGGTTGTCTCTGCAGTAGAGATTCCAGATTCCTGTATTAAGGCCCATACAGCACCCTGACATAGTAACTGCTCCATATTTCAGTGTGCAGGCAATGTTCATACAGTTTTTACATTTAAACAAAAAACACTGCTGTGTTTCATAAACGTATACCATGCTCATTCAAGATTCTGAACAAAGCAGCAAATCTGAATAATCTCATTTCAGGTGCTGAAAAACTGGATCAGTACTCCGGATGTGATTAGACAGATCCAAAGTAGGCTTCCACCATAAGGGCCAGTTTTAAAACGTCTTGCTGTACCATTCAAGCCCACTGTGCTGTAGATATCCATACAGGCACCAAAAGGTAGAAGACAGGAGACAATTTGTGTTAAGGATGGTATTATGCTCTTGGCATTCCTTTTCATTTGCTATCCTCTGTATCTTACTGATCTTTGCTGTGCCTTTCAGCCTGTCATTATTTTTCAACCATGCCACATGTGCTAAGAAAGCACCATGAGCACGCTAAATAGATCACCCCATTAAGAGAAAAGCACAACACCCACATACTCTCCATACAGCTTGGCAGGAGTCTGTTAACGCTTCACCTGCCCCTGCTTCCCGCTGGTTAGAAAATACTATCCAGTGAGGAATATCTGCCTTAGAGATACAGCTTACAAGCAGTCTGCTCTACTTGAGGACCACAGCAGAAAGGCCACAAAAGCTTTCTTTCTTCCCTTCATATTATCACTGCTTTTTCAGTTGTAGAAGCTGGAGAACACCCCACAACTTCAGAGGTAACAAGTGAGCCCCTACCCTACATTTTAAGGCAGGATCGTTACTGCGTTTCACACAACCTATATACAGTCTGTGCTCCATAATGTTCCTATCCCTGTGAACCAGATACTGCCAAGCACTTTTCTTCAGTCACCACAGCAGAACAGGCAGCTGTGCCATAAGAGCAGCACGTCTCCTGACGTGAAAGCTCAGCATGACGCCTGTGAGCTTAGACTTCCTCAGGAAGATTTCAAGTAAACTCACTCTTTTGTAAGATTTTACACATATCTGTGGTCTAATGCATTTCAGCTTAAGAAACAAGTTACTAATTAGAATCCTGTCTAAAATTACATGTGTACGTGTGTCTTTTCTCACCGTTCACCATCACTACTTACCTCTAAAGCATTTTGCACTTTTTCCTTACTTGACGTATTTCTCTTGAAGTTATTTGTGAAGTTCACTGCTTCACTCCAATTGCTGTATCCTCCACCATACAACAGACTGTCATTGGGTAACAAAGTCTCCGCCCAGAGACGACAAACATTATCCTTACAGCACGTCAGGAGTACATTGCAGACAGCACCACTAATGAAAGAAAATTTAAGGTGTGATTACCATAGATCATCATTTTGATGATCTTATTACCATAGATCATCCAAATAAAGCAGCAGTACAGAACAGCATTCCGTTATCAGTTTTCAGACTTGCACCGATTAAAGACACTAAGGAAAGAAAAACTCAAAAACACATTCTTAGGAAAATGAATGATGCAAAGAAAGGCTCTCACATCTATTTAAGTACCTGAATACAAATTACCTCAAACTTCATTATACAGCTGTGCACCACCAAATCCTGGATTTCAGTTTATGGAGTTATTCATAGTTGGAAGAGCAAAATACCGTTTTTCTTTTTAAAGTCCTTCACATAAATAGCTAATAATATTCTGGACACCTGTTCTCAATTTCCCATGACCTTACTGCCATACAGCACTTAGAAAATTATATACCCAAAGCAGAGAAACCAGGGTAACACCAGGAATAAAACAGCCAATTTAAAATTATAGATTTTTCTTAATTAGTATTTTTCCAAACACAATTTGTGTTACATCTATATCCAAAAAATCCAATTAGCATAAACTAAGCACTGAAAAAAATACGCAGACCATCATGTTTACAGTTCATGTGAGTTCACAATTTAGTTTTAACTAAGACTTGAAAACTACATGGAATATATGACTGGACTGCCCAAGAGCAAACTGCCTCAGGCATCACGGAGCAGGTGAATCTTCAAAGCTGCTTTACGAAGAGTCTTGTCTGGTATAAAAGACAGCATAAACTTGCTCAAACACAAAAAGGTATGCAGAATTCAAACGGCTGCCTTTTGGAATAATGACAAAAAGACGGTTGCAGGACACAAAATTGCTAATGCTATTTCAGTTTCAGATCTGAATTACTGGCAAAAACTAGGGACAGACCATTTAGAAATAGTCAGGACACCCCCACCCACCCCAAATAAATCAAACCCAAAATATAAATTCCAAACGATCATTTTAATTCAATTTCCAGATACTGTTTCTGACAGAGTTCTGGTTTTGTCCTAGGTAAAGAAATTGTAAGACGTGGAAATATGTGAATGTTTGAGAAAGATGACAAAGCGACAAGACTTTTGAATCGCTGTGATTCCATAAGGACAGAAACAGAGGAACAAGCTGAGATCAAATGAACGGATGGTCATTCAAAACAGTGTACTGAAAATAATACAAAGAGAAGTATTTTCACAAGTGCTGAATCAACAGTTAGTCCAATCTCTAAGCCAGGCTGTGGGACTCATCATTCTAGCTCCTTCCCAGGTCAGAGGATGCTTACCACCCTCTCAAGAACTTCAGTGTGAAGGAATTGTATCAACACAGGCAAAAAAATATACAAGGTGCACAAACCCAGTTATTAACTGAACTGTACAATTTGTGTGACTGTTGACCACACAGCTGGGAACACTGTACAGTTTTAGGGGTTTTGGGCAATTTACAAAACTCGGGCTATTAGAACTACTCACCGTGGCATGAATTTACTGGTCTTCCTCCATGAAAATGCATTTACTGATCGAGGATGAGCCAAATACACAAATGAAAAATCAACTTCTTTTGCTTGTTTTTCCGGACTTGTGCCAGGTGGTGTTACAGCTGATCGCCAATTGTCTGTATTGTACCATACCTTCACAAGGCAGTCATCCTAGCGAAGGAAAAAAAAAAAGACAGTAAATAAGACTACTTTACATAAGAATATAATACACTTCAAGATCTTCTGGGTTCTTATGCTTCTTTTAAGAAAAACACTTTTCTGATGACTAAGTCAGTTCAGAGAACAGAACTTCAAAATCTGATCTTAAAGAACACATGGTAGCAGACGTTCCTTTTAATCTCTCTTTCCATTACTAACTTGGATTTGATTTTGCTCCTTCTGATTAGCTGTCAGTTTTTAAACCACAAAAATGCAAGCTGTACTGGCTTGAACTGGTATTCAAATGTTAATACAATTAACTGTAATTTGACAGAAACCCCCCAAAATCTACGCACAAAAATGTAAGTGTTAAGAATAAAAACAAAGGTCAAAGGTGACATCTCACACATCAAGCTCAGCACTGCTCAACCAGGTTTTCTTAGCTATCCACACATCTATGTTAAAAAAAAAAATCATGTTGCTAGTGTCCTTGTCCTTATGCTTTTAAGGACCAGATAAATTAACATAGATCTAGATTGGCAAGCTGTTGGTCAACTATTAGAATCACAGTATTGTTTAGGTTGGACAAGATCTTTAAGGTTAATGGTTGAACCTGATGATCTAACACTGCTAATGACACCACTAAACTATGTCCTCAAGAACCACATGCACCACCATATCTTTTAAATACCTTCAGGGATGTTGACTCAACCACTGCCCTGGAGAGCCTGTTCCAGTGCTTGATAACCCTTTCAGTGAAAAAATTCTCCCTAATATCCAATCTAAACCTCCCCTGGCACAATTTGAGGCCACTTCCTCTCGTCCTGTCATTTGAGAGAAGGGACCAACCCCACCTCTCCGCACCCTCCTTTCAGGGAGCTGTAGAGAGTGATAGTCTCCCCTCAGCCTCCTCTTCTCCAGGCTGAACACCTCCCAGCTCCCTCAGCCACTCCTCACCAGACTTGTGCTCCAGACCATTCGCCCGCTCCATTGCCCTTCCCTGGACACGCT